TGGAGGAAATAAAATCAACAGCTACCATGATCTGTTACAGAAGCTAAGAGTAAGAGTCAAAAGAAATGTCTGAGAGCTAACTGTGGATATGGAACCTGAGAGACTTCTGAGCTAGAGATCAATTTGGGTTTCAACAGCGGCAGATAGGCATGAATATGATTCTGTAGAGAGAAAAGAGAAATGGAAGAGAAGTGAGCCAAAGATGGAATTCTGGGGAACACCAACATTTTAGGGGGAGAGTAAGGAAAAGAAGTCCCCAACGTCTGCGATGGAATGAGAACCAGAAAAGCATTGTTACAGCAATCAAGGCTGAAGACACTTTCAGGAGAGTGGAAATAATCAATAGTGATAACTGCCTCAACGAAATAAAGATAAGGCATTTGGCAGGTTGGAGATGGCTCCCGCATGAACCAGTTCAGGGGAGGTTCTAACCAGGGGTGGGAAATCAGATTACAGAAGGCAGAGGAGTGAATAGAAAGTAAATAAAAAAAAAGTGATGATACAAATATAGACCACTCTCTCAAGAAGCTTGACTCTAAAGAGAGGGAAAAAGTTTATAGTTGGAGTTGGAGGGGAAAGACGTAAATATGTTTATATGACAAGGGAAGAGAACTGGTCGAGTAGGAAGTGAAAGAGATGGGAGAGTACTACAAGAAAGGTGCACTCCCGCTCCTAGAAAAAAAGTCCGTTTCTAAAGCAGGGTGACTTAAAATATACCCAATTGTGCTTGAAAGAAAGCATATGAAAAGGGAAAGCATTTTTCAAGGACAGGTCAGATAGGATTAATAAATTCTGGGACAGGAATATACGCAAACATAACCAAGAACACACAGGGAAACTTGGCAGCCTGATAAAACCTCAAATGAGTGAATCCACAGCACCGAAATACACTGTATTGTCTAGAATCAGTTCTTACTCATCCTGAGGACATACATAGTCATTATGGGCAGAGGAAAACTCAACCTGAAAAACATGGAGAATACCCAAAACAGACCAAAGGCACAATTTGTAGAGGCTTAGTAAACTAAGCATTATTTTCAGCCGCGTAAACACAGCACGATAATTTGGAGAATGTGCTGGGCCCTGAAAAACTACTAAAGTTTTGAAATTCTATTCCTTTGCTTTTGTAAAGTCATTTATAGATAATTTAATGATTTATTTCATTGGTATGTTCATTCAACAAATACCGATTGAGGATTTATTATGTGCTAAGCATAAATGTGATAGGACATCAACAAGAGAGCATAGATTCTTAACAGAAATGGGACAGTGGATGTACTTTGAAAAAGCATATTTGATTTACCTTTTGCCTTGTAATAGGATATACAAAGTAAAACCTGTCAAAAATCTTGGCTGGAGGACTATGGAGAGCAGCATACAGTGAAAAAAACATCGTAGGGCACTTGGGCTTTAAAAGGTGGAGAAACATTGGCCTAAGGATTCAAGCATTTCTCCATAGAAGAGATTCAATAAGAAGATAAAATCTGAAAATTCCTTCCTCTGCCATTAAATTCAATTTCTAATTTCAGCCTATGAGGTGGGCACAATAAGGCAAAAGTACATATTTAATTATAGAGATACAGATATATATTTTTTAAATGCTATTGACTTTTGGCTCTTTGTAGTTCTTACAAGTACCATTCCCATCTCTTAATCATCTTCATTTTTACTGCTGCCCATATCTTTAGGGTTAGAAACCTCAAATACCTACCTGAGGTAGAAACTTCTAGATTCGCTTCACAAACAGGAGCTAAGTCTCCTGCAAGGGGAAGAGGAGAGCTTAGTGTTACTGTTTTAAGCTGAGTTAGCTGATGGTCAAAGCTGGCATAGCATGATAGAAAACTAGATAGTCTGTTCCATGCTCAGAAGGACATACTGATAGCCAATTAAGCCAACCGTGCTCTTTTCCCCATGGAGGCCCAGTGTGCTGTGGCTGCAAAGCAGCAGCATCCTTGGTAGTGTATGCAGGCTGTTGCTTTTATGGGTTGCCCTAAGGGACCTTGGAGACAGCCCTTTTTCAGTGGACACTCATGTCTCACCTCATGCTGTCCCTAGTCTAGACTCTAGACAGGTATGTGGGGAGCCTATGGAAAATGCCAGGGCACAGTGGCCAGGGTCCACATTGGCCAAATAATCATGTCCATTGCACTGAGCTGCAGAACAAGGAGCATGATTGAGGTTCTACGCAGGACCAAGTTAAAGTTCCCTGGCCGCCAAAAGATCTACGTCTCTAAGAAGTGAGGCTGCACTAAGTTTAATGCAGATGAGTTTGAAGACATAATAGCTGAAACGCAGCTCATCCCAGATGGCCGTGGGGTCAAATCCATCCCTAATCATGACCCCTGCACTCATGAGAATCTTGGTGCTGACACCTTCTTATACCCACCAATAAATCCTACTTCCTGTCAAAAAAAAAAAACATATTGATAAATACAAATTCTCCTGAAGATTTAAAACAAGGATGAGTGGGGAGAGAACATATAGGGAGAGAATGAGTATTTAGGCTTTATCTTAGACTAACTGTGTGTTTGCTTTTTAGCATCCGTTTATTTCTTTTTGGTCCTCAGGAGGCCTATTCAAATGAAAATGCAACAGACAGCATGTTAGTATATAGTATACCCTGTAGGTGTAAAAGCTTGGCTTTGTTCATGAACAAAAGCTTCTTTTCTGTTAGCCTCCCAAATGTTCCTTGCCATTGTGCAGAAATACATTAATTTTGAAACAAAATAAATTATGTACTTTTTGAAAAACAAAATTAAAAGAAAAACCATACATGTAAACACACATGTGCACAATGAAACTGACATTACCCTATTCCTTCTTCCACGTGTCTCAGAGTTATAGCCAACACCTGTGGCCACACAAGGGGCAGACTTGGCAGCTGCAGATCCCAGATGTCAGACACTGGATTGTACGTCCCTGGCAGCAGTCCTAAGTGGGAGGTTGTCTCCTTAACTGACCTCTGAAATGGTCTATTGTCTGACTCCCTCTCTGGCCTGGGCTGTAACTAACAAGCTGTCTGTAGGCTGGTTCAGAGTTAGTGTGCTGATGGGTTGTTCTGGATGCAATTATCCTTTGCCTTACCTTTGATTGTAAGGAATTTATTTCCTTTGTAGGGGTGAAAATTGGGACTGGGAACATTCTGGACAAAAAAAAAACAAAAAACAAAAAACTATATTCAGGTTACTTCCAAGGACAAAATAAGACGCTTTTTGCTTCCCCTTTCCCCGCAACTGAAATTGGATGAGATCAGCTTAGCACACAGTTGAATTTTGGTTAATCAGAAGTACAAAGAAGAGTTTCTTGGGCACTTCCCTCCTCTGAAAGAATGCTGTTTCCTTACGCTGCTGCTTAAAGGTTGAAAATGAAACCTTTCTTTAGAAACTTAAGGAGCTACAACTTTGTTTTTGCTATTACTAAGAAAAGTCTCATCTATTGTAGTGAACAGCTTTTTGTATCTTGGTTCTTTAAAGAGGAAAATGATTACACTTCAACCTTACCTCTACACCACTTGCTGAAGAATGACATAACATGTAAGGTGCACACATTATAGGAATGAGGCAGGAAAAGGCCAAGAGTCTAAGAGGGCTCTGCTTATAACGCTGTACTCACTCGTAGCCTTCCAGGAAAGGTCTGTTGAGCATATAGTTATAGTCATGGCAAGTTAAGGAGAAATATATCTAATATTCATGGGAAGATGAATTTTGAGGAAATTATAGACTATATTATATCCAACATCAAATAGTATTCACCTGCACCATGTACAATGTTTGAAATTTTCTTTATTAACTTTAATAAAAATGTGAATAGGTCTCTTGGCTACCATTAATTTAGATTTGGAGTCCCAATATAATTTAGTAAATGATAAATAAATAAATTGGAGAGAAGAGCCATCTCTCTCATACAGAAGAATTCCAAGTAATTTATGTGGCTTCAAGGAGGTAGAACTTCATTCTCTACCCCTTGACTGTGGGCTGTGCTTTGTGATTTAATTCCAAAGAGTGGTGTATAAAATGGGGTTGGGGAGTTACTTTACAGGGGCCAAATCAGACAAACGCCACCTTGGCCAGGTGATAAATGTTAACATCGGCAGTAATGTCATGTTGATAGCATGTTCCCTTGATATGATATGATTTTACCTTTGTAATATTCCTCTCCAAACTCATAACCATAGTCTGATGACTAAATACAGTATATCATACGAGATAGGATCCTGGAGGTGAAAAAATGTATCAGGGGAAAACTGTGAAATCTGAATGGAATGTGGACTTTAGTCAATAGTAATGTCCCAATGTCAGTTCCTTAGTTGTAGCAAATAGGGGAAACTGGGTAAAAGGTATACAAGAGCTCTGTAACTTTTCTATAAACCTAAAAATATTCTAAAGTTAAGTTTGTTTAAATTAAAAAAAAGGATGGTTAATATATTGCTATACTGATTGTAACAGGGTTCCTATGTACCAATCAATATATCTCTTTAGCTTTTTCCACCCACATCCATCCACCAAACCATATGGCATAAAGAGTCGTTTCTACAGTGGTATGATTGGAGTCAGACCTATTCTGAGAGTTTTAGATTTTTCAATAATATTTAGGTCATGCCCTTAGTAATATAACACAAATGCTCAAAAGATAGTGTCCACAACCTATATTCCTCAATGGCTTTGAAAGATATAATATCCTCCAACCACCTATCCAAAACACTTAATTTTCATGTAAATGTTATTAGTGACATGATTAGCAAGACAATCTATTAATTTCTGAAGGTAACATATTCTTTGCTAGATTACTTAGGATAGTGTTCACTTATTGATCGTTATCATGAGCACTAAGGGGGTAAGAGCTAATGCTCTAAATGTTCTAAAACCACTCTTTTAGAATAAGGATGAGATTATTTCTTTGCTACTCCGTCTCCATCCTTAGAATTATGAGAAATCAGTTAGTTCTCTTGGAATTTTAGAAGATATTTCTTTCATGCTGTTTTCGATTTATTATCTTACTCTGAGAAAGAGAAAATCTGTTAGTGTCAATGAATGTTTACTTTAAAAAACTATTGTGGGATGTCTAGAACTATTAACCAGAAACATGCGTTAGCTCTCATTTAATGATAGATACAATTTTAAAAGTTCAGTTAATCAAAATTTAATTAGAATAATAAATTGGACAGAGCTGCCGCTCTAATTCTGTTTTTAGGGGAGGATGGGAATGCCATTTTAAAAGCTGAAAAGAAAATACATGCAACTTCCTGCATATATATTTTAGGGACAAAAATAAGATTCCAGAAAATCATTTGTACAGTCTACACCTATAGTACTTTATAATGATAACTTGTATTAAGGAAAAAACCATGCTGCTTAATAATAGGGCGGTGGGGGGGGGGGAAACAGTGTTCCCTCTGGATTTCTTAACTAAGGAATTTCAGAAGAGTCAACCAACATATTTTAGGACTATTTTTCATAGATACTTAATATGGAAAAAAATAATGGCACAGAGGGATCGACAATAAATGTAAGGTAGCTATTTTTTATATTACCCTTTAAGCAGTTTAGTTAATACATATTTTGCATTTCATGAGACTGTTTTATGTGTGTGGTTAGTGATGAGAATTATAACAGTTCTCGTTCCCAGAACACCTCTGATGTGTCAAGCTTTATACTGCCAGGCATTTGACATGCACCATCTAAAACCTAACGCAATCCCGCAAGGTGCATATAATTACTATTTAACAAGCGGAAGATGAAGGACATCAGAAGTTAGCACACTGAGATTCAAAGTCCCCCAGCTTGTAAGAGAGGGAGCCAGTTCTGCCTCAAAAGCCTGAACTCTTTC